TACAGAAATTATATATTGTATAAATCAGTTTCCCCGCAAGACAGAAACAGAGACAAAAGTAGACCTGCTTACCCCATGCATATGAAGCATATCAATTCCAAAATGTGCTAAGTGCTTGGCCAAATGAGGATCCAAAACAGGTTCCTCTTCTTGGAAAGAATAAACATCTAGAGAGTGAAGAGAAAATAAGCACTGAGATCTTCAATCAACTCATTCAATATTCAACACATACTTACTGAGCTCCTACACGCACTTGGACTATATCAATGAACAAAACAAAACCCCCTTGTGAGTCTCAACTGGGGAAAAGACAGATGATAATAAATATAATGGGTATATTTGTAAATATACTCATATAGCAATTCTTCTGATAGTTTAGAAAGTAATTTTTTAAAAGGTTTCCTGAAACAAGAGTGCATAAAGTTAAAACAATTTAAAATCAAATATAAATGCCGAGAATTTGATTGTTCTAACCCAAACCCCAATAGCATCACTGTAAGTTGAGGAAGAGGGAAGGGTGAGGAAGGAGGTGACCCCTATTGCACCCGGAGGCAGAACCTGTGAAGAACAGAGAGAACACACGGCCTCCGGGTGGCTGAATGGTGGCACTGGGGAGTAAGTCCAGGACAAAACAAAATTCTGCCTGTGGAACCCTCTGTAGTCTCAGCCCTACCATCTCTACCTGCCCCCTCCCCCTCTCTCCTCTCTGTCAGTGTCCACACCCCACAGAGCTGGTGAGGGACCTGTGAAGACCGCAGTGCTTCCAAACATGCCGCCTGCAGCACACAGGAAACAATGATGCGCCAGCACCACGGGGAAACTCCGGAGGCTCCGCCCCCAGGCCACGCCCCCGCCCCCGGCCGGACAGATCAGCCTGTTGGCCTCGTGGGTAACCCATTCCAGGCGCACTGGTGCTGGGAAGCTGGGTACCGAGGGGGGCGGCTTCCCTCCTAAGGGTCCTCACAGCCCACCTGACAACATAATGCTTTAGACCGCTCCTTCTTCTCCAAGTGTGGGGCATGGATTCAAAGCAACAGCATTCCCTGAGAGCCTGTTAGAAATGCAGAATCTCGGGCCCCACCCACACCTACTGAATGGGAATCTGCATTTTAACAAGATCCGCATGTGCACAGTAAAGTCTGAGAAGTCCTGCCTAGAGTTTTCGACAGCTATCAGAACTGCTGCCTTTTCTGTCCTCAAACAGCTGTTCAGTGTGGCAGAGGGAAACATTTTCAGGCCTATTTTGCAGATCAGAAAATAAGGCTTAGAAAAGTCATTTGCCTCAAACAGCACACGTGGCCCAGAACTTAGATATTCTGACTCCTGGCCCGGTCCTTTTTCCTTTGCACCAGACTATTTCCTTAGATCTCTCAGGAGACCAACAGACTCAGTGAAGCACCAGGCTGTTAACAAGAAGGGAGTGAAAAGCTGCAATTTCTTTGCTCCTAAATTTGAAAAACAAAATCAGAAAATAGATATAAAGATATTATTCTTTAGAACAGTAAAAGACTGTTCAAGGAGTTTCCTGCTCTTTGGAACATCAACAAGAGGAGAAAGAAAGTAACATATAGGAACTATGGTGACCCTCCGACCCAAACCCAGATACGTGGAGTCTCACCGCCACCCCAAAAAAGTCAATGTTTCTACTATTAATAGATTAAACATTATATAGCTTTCTCTTCTATACCTCCTCCCCTAGAGGCCTATTTTAACTTGCGGATGGTAGCCTTCATTTATATTCTTCTTTAAATATAACTTAGTGCTCTCAAAGCAAAAACAAAAGAAAATCCCCAGCCCACTTAGGAAAAAATTTCTAAAAAGTTTAAATACTAAAAAAAAAAAAAAAAAAATTATTTGAACTAATAACTTAAATACAGCAACAATATTTCTAATCTATGACAAGTGATAGGAAAAAATTAATTTGAACTAATAACTTAAATACAGCAACAATATTTCTAATCTATGACAAGTGATAGGAAATACTGGCTGAAAAATGAAAGTGACACTCCTTTGGCATTTAATTCTGGTAATTATTAACTAGTGAGATAGTTTTCAAGACTCAAGACATTAAGCCCCTAATTATCAGAGCCCCAAAAGAAATAGTAAGATTGCTAGAAATGCACCATTGGCATTGGTCTAGGATTTTGAAATAAGTGAAAATCACATAGAATTCTATTGTTCTTAAGCCACTAGGCTCCTGCCACAGTGAGAAATTTAACATTTCCTATCTCCAGTCATTAACTGCTCCAAAAATATGACATGATTTGGTCAGACATAATAGTTACTTCTTACTCCAATGACAAAAACAGTTTAGTGAGTAACACACTAGAAATCTAAAACTGAACTGTGATCCTTAAACTTGGCAATCGTGAAGAATTTATAAATGACATGTGGTCATAGAAAAAAAATTTGAAGTAGACGCAGGAGCTGAAAATCCTTACACATTTTTCACTGGGAAACTCATTTTACCTCCAACTTCAGCTTAGCAAAGTCAAGTCTTAGCTCAGAAACTACTGTAGCACATAAGCATTGCCTGACAAGTATTACCCTCCCCGACTCCTACTTGAACTTAAAAATTTGGAGCCAAGGAACACAGTTAGGAAGTTCACAGAAAGATCCTGCTAGGAATAGCCCAGCAGCGTTTCATGAGTAACCACATTCACTTTAGAAGGAAACTAGTCATTGCTTCATTTCAAGTTAAATGACAAGTTAAGCCATGGAGGGCACAGAGAGACCCACAGAAGGGAAAAGGTAAAAGAAAAGGTTTAGAGCATGAATAACCCACTGATGTCATAAGCATGTTAGAAAATAGTGCGTATTAAGTTCCAAAATTAACTACAGAAAAAATTACAGAACAAAGATAGAGACTAAGACTCAGACAACAGCTGAGAATCTATCAGAAATTATATAAAAATGGTAATAATTTCTTGTCTCTGGGAAGGTTTTTTTTTTTGCTTTTCTATTTTTTTCCAAATTTATTATATTTTGATTGAAAAAAGTTTTATAATTAATTGCCAAAGATTAAAATGTTTATATATGATGGCATGCTATTAGGTATGGCTAGTATATGACTGGTCATCCTTGTTCATACACAGGGACTCACTCACTCACTCACTCATTCATTCACCCATTCATTCACTGTATTCAGCAAATATTTATTGAATACCAAATATATACAAATACTGAGGATATAATATTAAGTAAGATAAGCAGGATCCCTTTCCTCATAAGTTTAAACTTTCTTATTTCAAATAATCTTATACGAATGCTGGTTTGGTATAAATGACCTCAACAGACGTCTTCTTTGGCTAGCTATGGTTTACTTATTTGACTTCAGGCTTTCTTCCTAACCCCTAGAAAATGGCAGGAGTTCAGACCCTTCCCTCAGATCCCCACACAGGAAAGCAGAAGGAGAGAGGTAAAGATGTACCTCAACAAGCTCCTGTGTTTAGAAAAAATAACAAAACCAGAGACGCCAGCCTCACTGCTCTGTTCTCACAGCTCAAATGGAGAGAAAACCAGAACTCTTGGTTAAACACCAAGTCATAAACCAGAGAGGAAAGGATGAGGAAAAGTTCTCTCCAGGGTAAGTGTGATCTACCTAAACTGCATCTCTCCTCCTGGAGTTTTTTGTGTGTGCGCACAGAGCATCTGCCACAGACAGGAAAAAGAGAAACAAGAGACGGCTCCAACAATTAATCTAAAAGACCAAACACAAAATGAATGAGGTCAGAGGTATGTACAATCACCTTAGACAGTCTAACTCCCAGGCCTGACACAACCTAGACTGTGGCCAGGAAAGGAAAACAAGTAAGAGTAAAAAGATGTCAATAAAATTTTTAAAAAAGAAAAAGAAAAAAGGTGAATCAGAGAACAAACTTTATTGGTATGTCTGTCTTCCTCCATCTGTTTACTTCACAAATATTTACTGAGCACCTACTACGTTTGAGGGGCTGTGCTAGATGCTAGAGCTGTAACAGTGTACAACAAACATGGTGCTCAGGCCCTGCTGTCCAAGGTGACCCCCAGTAAGCATGAAAAGTGTCATGATGGAGCAGCACAAGGTGCTACAGAGGCACACAAGAGGGGCACAAGCCAGGTCAGAACTAAAATGAAGTAGTCAGGGCCTTGACTCCAAATCTTTGGGCTGATGCCAAGTTGAGCATGGAGAAGACCAGAGAAGAAAAACCACCTTGAGATGCTGCTAAGTTGGTGCAGGGGCCACTGGGATAGTCGACTTCACAGCTGCCATGAGCATCTCTGGAAGACTCTCCTGCAATCACCAAGGCTTCTTCTCAGGCAAACAAATTTCCATGATGGAAGAAAAAAACACCCTCTTCTGTCTCCAGCTCTCTTCATTTGCTTCCCACCAAGAACATCATCCTTGTGTTGCCAAATGAATGTCTCCTCCCACAGAGGAAAGCATTTTGTTTGTTTGTAGGGTGATCTGCTGCTTTGTTTGTTTGCTGCTGTACCCATGGGGAACCAGAGTGGAATCTGACAGGGGGCCCACTTTTATCACCCAGCAAGCACAATGGCGTAGCCTGTGGGATCAAGGCTTCTTGGGAGAACTAATTCTAGGTTGACACCTCAAGATGAGTTAGTTTCTCACTGAACAGGTATATCCTTATTAGGGAGAAGGAAACCAGGATGATCAGATCACATTACCATTAAATATTTGAGTTCACAACCTGCTTGGATTCCATGTTCACTAAACAACATTCTAAATATAAATCAGGCTCCCACAGGGAAGGAATGTACTGGTCAAGTTGACATAAACATCCCACTTAACAAGCAGTTGTGGTTCTCCTTATAAACTAAAAAATGAATGCCCTGACTTTGAGATTCTGTCTCTTGTGAGTTGAATTAGCCTCAGTGAGCCTAGTTCATAGCGAGTAAGGAAATTGGGCCCTCGGCAGTGGTACCTTCATCAGGAGGTGGTCACCCCACCCCCAGATAGAGAGGCCTCAACATTCACAGGTCTCATCGTCAGACATTTAAGGAAATTTTACGCATGTTTTCATTAATTCACTTGGCATTTAAACAAACAATAAAGTACAACTAGCAACCTATTAAACAGATTCCAAAGAAATGAAAATAGAATTGATGTATCCCATAAACTAATATAAAATGATAATTAGACTAAAAATAATCACTGGTGTTAAAACCAACTCTGCAAATGATAAGCTGGAATCAAATCCTGATCTATTGTCAAAAAGTCAGCTTTTTCTTTTTGGCTAAATGAATTCAAGAATCCTCAACACAGGGTACATGTTCTACATTGTTTTTACCAATGGTCAATGCTTTCTATGACTGAAAATGAGTATTTATTCAAATACTCTCAATTATATGATAAGAATAATCTTAAAAGTTCTCCCTCCTCTACCAAAAAAAAAAGAAAGAAAACCTAATTATAGCAGATAATGGGTTAATATTCTTAATAGCCAAGGAGTTTTAAAAACCAGTAAGAAAAACACCTACACATACACCTACTGGAAATATCAGCCTAAGAAATTCACAAAAAGGTGGGGAGAATAGCTTAGCTCAAGTGGTAGAGCACATACTTAGCGTACACAAGATCCTGGGTTCAATCCCCAGTACCTTCTCTAAAAATAAAGAAGTAAATAAACCTAATTACCACTTCCTAGGAAAAAAAAAACCTAAATAAATCAATATATCAGTCTTCAAAAAACTATTTTAAAAAAAGAAATTCATAAAAAGAACTACCAACGGCCAAGAATACTATGAAAAATGTTCAGCCTCACTATAAAGCAAATTAAAACAAGATAACAGATTAGCAAAGGATTTTTAAATTTCTGAATACTCAGAGTTGTCAAAGATTTGTTGAAATGGATATTTTCATACATTTCTGGTGTGAATGTAAATTACTACAGCTGTTTAAAAGAGAAACTCAGCAATTAAAAATTTTAAAGTTTCAACTCTCTGTTTATTGCAATGTGTCCTAAAAAAGAATCATTAGACAAACACCCAAAGATTTGCATATGTACAAAGATATTCATCAGAATAGCAAGATTGTAACAAACTCACAGGGGAATAGTGAGATGACTTATGGAACTATCATGGGATGCTGAAGAATATTTAATGACATGGAAAATATAATTCAATATTAAATAGAGTAAACAAGGAATAAAACTTTATACCGCATGATTCAATTTTTTGTAAAAATGTAGGATATATGTGTGCATTTGTATAAAAACTGATCAAGGTCTTAGAAAGGAAAAAAGACTGAGAGGAAATACGTTGATTGTTAGAAGTAATTTGTCTGGGCAGGCGGTAGTACCAGTGATTTTTACTTCTCTAAGCTTTTCTCTCTGTTTTCTAAATATGTTACACTGAACATCTGCTTTTCATATACTCAAAGGGCAAATATAAAACTTTTCCTTCCTCAAGTTGAAAGGAAAGAAACTTTAGATTAACTCTAAATCATAATTTGAAAATAAATTTCACGCTAGAAAAAAAAGGCTTCTGGAAAATTAAAGATGCATAGGGAACAGAATTAATCCTTGCCTTTATTATTAGCATACATTTAAACAGAATCTAATTACTTACATACTTATAAACCAGTTGGTTCCTTTAACAAAAGTATTCATGCCTACTATGTGTAAGATTTTGTATGGAATCCAAAGATGGGTAAGACATAGCCCTGACTTCAAACACCTGAAATTTTACAACAAAGCCTCCTATACAGATAACTGTAGTCCTGGACAGGAGGTTCTGAGAACCGGATCTAATAACCAGCCTTATCAAAAAATACTGCATAATTTGATGAATTTTGATAGATGTATACACCAATGAAACCACTACCACAACCAAGATAACTAACACTTCCATCACTCCCCGTCTATCAAAATTCATCAAATTGTACATCTGAAATATGTGTAGTTTACTGTACAGGAGTCATACCACAATAAAGGTGTTTTAAAAAATAAAATAATAAAGTAAAAAAAAAAAAAGAAATTCAATGAGAGGAAAAAAAATACTACATAAGACAGCGCCAAAAATAGAAACATCTAAATTAACCTTTCCTTGCAATTGTACCCTACAGAATGCCTACACTACAAACCCTTCTCTCAGTAGATCCTACAAGGACAATGACAGTTACCATATAAAGCAGGCATTCAACACAGCAATGACCTGGAAGCACCGTGTTATAAGATGAGCATAAAACATTGGCAAAAGCAATGTAGAACATGCACCCTGTGTTGCACCCTGGATCCAGCTACATGTCCTGGATTTCTTCTTCAGATCCTGGAAAGCTCAGAATTCAACTTGGCTTGTGTAGAGGTTTATTAACTTGAAGGGAAATGTTTGGCACCAGCACCTGAGATTCTTGAAGCTACTTTTCTCTAAAGAGTTAAAATAAGTCCACTAACCTTTGGAAGCAGGAAAATTACCCAAAAGGTGAATCAAAAGAATCTTGACACAACCTAACTGCCAGCCATCAATTATAAAACAAATGAGAAATGAAATCAGTTCAATGAAAAGGGCGTGGCTGACCAGGAGTGCACCATATTTAGTGAAAACACCCTCACCAGTTCTCTCTGAGGCAGGCTGATTCAGTCAGGGAAAGATAACAAAGGGGGAGAGAAAAGACACATGTCTTTATATTTTTCCTTAAAAAATCATCTTACCTTAAAGGAAACAAGAAGAGACTAAAACCTAGACAGATGGAGAAGACTGGCCTAGGTGTTGGTCCAAGTCTGTGCTTCATAAATGGTTTCAGTGATGCTTAGATGATGGGTTCTTAAGGCCACTGCTCAGTATTTAAGTTTCTCATTATTAACCCTGATATTACTTCCCTTTTCCCTCACAAAATGATAGAAGGAATTTACCGTACAAACATAACCAAAAGCTAACATTTTAGAGCATACAGTGTGAGAGCATAAAGGAAACCAGTGGTGAAGCTGACAGTACAAGTAGGAACCACTTCTAACCCTTTGCTGCACTGGAACACCATCACCGCCAGCTGATGTCAGGGACACGGAACAGACAGTATCCTTTAAAACCCATCTTCTCCATTTGTTCCTAAAATGATAATAATTCTTATAATGAATTCTAGGGCTTCCTCCTACTATTCTAATGGTGGATTTGATCATGCACATTCATATCACAAGTCTTGGTTCCTGCTTCTGTCCTCTCAGCCAAGAGATATACAGAAAGACACTAACAAGAACAGCTACCTTTTATCGAGACCCTGCCGTGTGCACTGGGCTACATGCTCACGCCCCTTAACAAACCTGTGAGAGAGACACCATGATTATCCTCAAGATGAGGAACCTGAAGCTTAGAAGGATCTGAGAACTCGCCCAAGACTTCACAGCTAACAAGAGGCAGAATCAGGATTTAAACCTGGGCTGAGTCCAGAGCCTACGCCCTCCAACCCCAGAGATTAAGGCACTGGCTGAATCTAAGAGGGAGCCTCTGAAAGCTCCCAAGTCAGTAAAGGCACACTTACCTGCCCCATCAGGAGTGATGGTTCCCAGCTTCACAGCTAGAGGGTAGCCCAGGTCTCTGTAATGTTCCAGCGCATGCCCGTTGCCCCCAGAGCTGTCAAAGAACCACTTCCCACACAGCACAGAGCCGTCAGTCAAATTCAACCAGAGGTTTTCCCGCAGGTCACACCTGGCACACTTCCAACCACTGGAAAGTCATCAGAGAGCAATCAGTACAGCCGGGGGATCAGGCGTGATTTGAAAATGAACATCTAAGAAAACAGAGTGTCTCTAGCTAGGGGTCCCAGGAGATGGTCAGTGGAATAACAGAGACTCATTCCAGAGCTACAGGACCACTCAGTACCCTGTCTGCCCCTCTGGTGGGGGCCAGCTCCTCCCAGCTCCAAGATGGCTCTTTTACTTTAGAAAACTGATACAATGAATACAAATATATGTATGTTCATGTAAGACTGAAGCATTATGCTGTATACCAGAAACTGACACAACATGGTAAACTGACTATACTTCAACAACAACAACTATATATATATATATATATATACACAAATATATATAATACACACACACACACACACACACACACACACACACACAAAAGAAAAAGAAAAAATTGATACAGAACCCGAGGGCAGGAGGAAAGGTCATTCCCTTAAAATTACTACATGAGGGAAAGTGAATCCTGAATAAGCTTAAAACACTAAAGATCCCACGTGTACAAACATCTAAAGTCTAAAGCACTAGCCACAAATAGTAAGACTAGTTTCATCAAAACTCTACGACACTGACAGTCTAAATTAGGTAGAAGGAAAACAACTGAAAGTTAAATGTCAGGTATGTGCCAGGTGCTTTACAGAAGTTTTATCATCATTTAATTCTAATAAACATCCTTCACCATAGCATTACCATCCTCATTAACAAAGGGAGACAGGCCCAGAGGTATCCTGCCTTCTCTAGGCCCACACAGAACAGGAATGCAGTACAGTCAGGGTTCAACCACACCGGACACAGTCCTCATCCACCTGCCCTTTGCCTCTAGCACCTGCCTCTGGAAACACACCAGCATCTAATTACAGGAGGTGCCAAAGTAGTCTAAGGAGCATTTCAGCCAAAATGTGCGAAAGACTGTTGTAAGTCTTCCTAAGTTGGGTTTCCCCTAGAAGCAGACCTGAGACAAAGATCTGAATGCAAACGGCTTGTTTGGGAACTGATCCCAGGACTCACCCTAAGGCAGTGGGGGAAGAGAGACTGAAAGGGCAGAAAGCCAGCGCAAGGACTGTCAACAAGCTGATCGCCCCTTGGGCAACTGGGGCTCAGTCCCTCTGGGGAACTCCAGGAGGCAGGCCCCTATCTGAGGGCAGGGATCTAGGGTAGCCATCCTCCACTCTGCAGTCACTGGTTGAGGGCTGTTCCAGGAGGACGGGAGGGAGCATTAACTCCGTGGCATTTCTGACTGTCCCACGGCCTACCTGGCTCCACAGGCAGAGAAAGCCCTCAAGCAAAGAGCTGCAGGTGCTTGCAGCCGGGGGCCTTAGGGCGGGGAGGGGCTTGAGGGTATGGGCTGGCCATGTTCAGCATCTATTACACAGGTACAGATAATTTTAGAGAGAATTTTTTAGCTTATTTTTAAGAAATGGCATCTGATAAGAAAATATATAACTGCTAATTCAGTGAAGAGGTAGAAAAAGAAATATTCCTTCAGCCAGTTTTAAGGGGTAGAGTTCCACTTTGCTGTCTGACCCTCACCTTGGAGGAATCCTGACTCCGTTGTCCAACTGCGTGAGGTTATTGGCATATTTGGATACCGGCAATTCATTTTCCCATGTGTCTGGGTCCTGCTTTCTATACGGAGACTTTGAGCTGAGAACTGCATCACAGGCAATCGTTACCTGTAAGACAAACCCAGATGTAATACATTAAAACAGTCTGAGAGAACCGCAACTTCTATAAGATGAATTTAAAAGTTTATTAATAAATACAGCTTAATTCAAGAAAATTCAAACAGCTCAGTTACCATGAGAGCAAGATGCTACTTTCCTGACACCAGCACTTTCTCGCTGGGTCTAGCTAGGTTTTGTCCAGGCCTGGAGTATGCAATATTAACAATAACACAAGATAGCAAAGAACCAAATCCACTTTGTAAACCCAAGCACAGGAGTCAGATTTAACAATTCCTACCTCTCAGCCAGCGAAGTGAGAAGCATAAGCTGAACAATTTACGAGGGTGAAATTAGCAACAGGAATGCCTAGGATTTCCCCAAGTGGCGTGTTTTCCTCCTAACAAATATAAACCCAGATATCCAATATCCTTAACTCATCACACAATGACATGTGTTCAAGGGCACTTGAATGGAATACAAGCAGCACGGCTCCTTCTTAATCTGGTGCAAATGTGACCCTGGATGGGGACATGCCTAGGTGTCTCTGTGCCAGATCAGTCCACGTCCTGAGCAAATCTGTGATGTCCAGCTTGGCACCAATTACCATGGGGAGGGCAGACTCTCTGCTTTCTCCCAAACCCCACTGATTCTGGACATAATGCCTCTCACCACATTCGCTATTTGCTTAATGCTATAAGCTATTTCTGCTCTCTTTAAAAACACAGTCTGATAAGCATGTAAAATGGTGCAGCCACTTTGGAAAACAGTTTGGCAGGTACTCAAATGGTTAAAGAGAATTACCATATGACCTGGCAATCCCACTCCCAGGTATACACCCAAGACAAATGAAAATGTGTCCACACAAAAACTTACACAAATATTCACAGAAGCATCATTCATAACAGCCAAATAGAAGAAAAAACCCAAATGCCCATTAACGATAAATGGATAAATAAAATGTCATATATCCATATAATGAAATGTTATTCAGCAATAAAAAGGAATGAAATACTGATACATGCTACAACATGGATGGATCTTGAAAATATATGCTAAGTAAAAAAAAAAAAAAAGTCAGCCACAAAGAACCATGTATCGTATGATTCCTTTTATATGAAATGTCCAGAATAGGCAAATCCATAGAGACAGAAAGGAGATCAGTGATTGCCAGAGACTCGGGAGATGAGAGGTTGAGAGGAATTGGCTGTGAGGATAATAAAAGCATTCTAAAATGAGACAGTCATGATGGATTCCCAATTCTGAATATAATAAAAGTCAGTGACTTGTTTAAAAAAAAAATTTTTAAACAAAAATCTGTATTCTACATGACTGGCATCCTGCACAGTTAGCTGAATTTCACGCAGAATATTTCCCCCTGAGGAGCACTGACCACTGACCCCAGAGCTAATGAGGAAACAACAGAGGAAGCTCCCTCAGGAGCCCTCCCACCCCCACCCCCACCCAGGCCATGAGCAGTTCCTATCAGTCCTTCAGCCAAGATCTATTTGGAATCTACCTCTTCTCGATTTCAGTCACACGCATCCTCGTCTCAGCCACCATCCCAGCTCACCGGGATGGCCACACAGCAGCCTCCTTCCAGTCCCCTTTCTTCCGCTCTTGCTTCCTCTTCTCTGCCCAGCAGCCGGAGAGATCTGCTGTGAACATTAGATCCTATCCTTCTCCAACTTAAAATGCTCCAGGGATTTATACTGAGCATCACCAATTGACAGCACGGGGCTAGGCACGGTCAGGAAAAGGAAAAGGTCCCTGCCCTCCAAAAGCTCGTACTCCATTTCAGATCAGGCAATCAGGCCTCCGTGAATATATCTGAATTTTTTTTGGCGGGGTCAGTGGGGAGTGGGGGGTATTTATTTGGTAGAAATTTGTAATGAAAGTATAGTTGATTTGTAATGTTTTATTAGTTTCAGGTGTACAACATAGTGACCTGATATTTTTATAGCTTATACTCCTTTTAAAGTTATTATAAAATATTGGCTATATTCCCTGTGTTGTGTATTATATCTTTGTATCTATTTATTTTATACCTAGTAGTTTGTACCTCTTAATCCTCTATCTTGCCCCTCCCTAAACCTTTTAAAAGATAGTCCCATTTATCTCCCACAAGCAAATGTTATATAATTACCTTTCCTTTCAATTATCAAAATTCATCTCCACTCCCTTCCAGTAAGGCCCTTAGAAAACAGGGTTGAGTTCACCATTAGCTGCTTTCTGATTTTAAGGGTGGACATGCTGCCTCAGCACTGCTGGCTCCACATCCTAATCTTTTTAGTCTGGCCTGTTGTAACTTTGTTTCACTAACGACCTCGATCCCTTCCCTGTCCTCCCATGAATCTTCTCCACCCCATGAGGTCTTTTCAAAGTGTTCTAGTTTGCAATGCACAATGACTTTGACCACTATTTGGATGTAATATTCTCTTTCCTTTGAACATCCTTCCTGGTGATATTCAACAAAATTCCCTTAAACGTCTGAGACACTATAAAACAATGACCTAGTGTTCTCAGAATACCATCTAAAATCACTCAGAGGCCCTTTTTATGATCACAACTGAAGGTCAGGATCCATTATCCTATAATTATACTGTGAATTATCTCATGTTCAGGGATGTTCTGGAATTGGCTCAAACTGGCTCACAGAATTGATAGTTGAATTTTAAGAAATTCTGCAAGAGAGTTGTTAAACACAGTCATTATTAAAATTAAATTATAAAAACTCACAACAAAATATACTCTTAAAAGGTAACAAATATTCAAAACTCTTTACTCCCTAGCTGTGTTACTCTTACTATTATCTTTATGCTCTTGAGGTCATTTAGGTCCATATCATGTGAACAGTGGAACCTCTGTGTGATGGTGTCCTACTGCACATATCTTCCCAATACTGTGATCTGTGCTGTTAGCCTGAAATCGGCCACGGTGGGAGGATTTCCACCACAGAAATCAGCAAACATTAGAGCACAGGGCTCCTCCCCCAGGGAGCTGGTTGCTAACCATTCCCAAGCACACCAATGCTCAAGTTTCTGAGTCAACAAGTAGGCACTGAATCGCAGGCTCTAAGATCCCTGCTGAGCCCCAAATGCGATGTCTCTGTGACCCTTGCATCACTAAGAGCTGGTTTAACTCTCTGGTAGAATTTATAGAGTACCTATCTGAAACCAAAATTTTTTGTGATGAGAAGCTCAAGAGATGACGGAAGAGTCACTTGGTGGGGTGATTTGGTGCTGAGTAATTTGTGCTATTTGAAAGCTTCAAAAGAGAATTATCAAACACCAAAAATGTAGTGAAAGCATGAAAAGAAATTATAGTAACTAGCATCTGTCATACAGATAAATCTTACCGGTTACTGTCAGATAAATCCAGGCTTTTCCTTCTAGCTCCCTACCTCACCTTCCAAACAATTCTCTCCCTCTTTAATTCTTAAAGCATTTCTAAATTCTAAAACACTCTGTATTAAAAATTATAATATGTATTGCTGGATTCAGATTTCTATGACACTTCACTTTTCTGTAAGTGTTCACACTTAGAATTATGTTCTCAATATAAGAATAATTGAAAGTACTTAGAGTTTTTCACATAAAGACTTCTTCTTAAGTGAGTGAGAGAAAAATCATTTCTCATGACATTCATTCACAGTGTGCTGCTGCTTTTCTGACAGCAGTATACATAGGAGTTACATTAAACAAGAACCGTAAGAACCCTCAGTGTCATACAGATAGAAGCTTTGTATATAACATCAGGTAATGGGACAGGTAAGACCATACTGTCCATTCATATATTTCACCCTTGTAACAGCCACGTGAGTCAAACAGGGAATTGGAGAAAGCAGAGGTAATTTAATTCACACATTGCTAAAAGCTATGCACTCAGGACTCAAAAGGCTATGCTATATCAGATAATTAAAGGGAAGAGCTACAATAGCTAAACACACAAAATTTTCATTTCTCTGGTCTTATGTTTAGGTATGAAGTAGGTCAAAGAGGTTGAATGGTAGAAACCTGGTTCCTAACGACAGTGGAACCCCAAGCACAAACGTCCCCTCTCCGCAGGGGCGAGTGAGGAGGTGGCTGTAGATATAGAGTCACACAACATCCAGGAGGATCGGGACCCCAAGACCTGGCTTTGGTCCTGGCAGAGTTTGAGGAGGGAAAAAACGAACTGGCACGTGTAACTCTGTCGACCCCAACCTCTGACCGCACGCTATCTGCGGCCAGGCTCAGAAGTCAGGGGGCAACAGAGAGGGAGAGAGGGAGAAATAAGGAAGGGAACACAGGAAAGAAGGATGCAGCGGTGGAGACAACACAGGAAATGAGGGAAGAACAGGAAAACGGTCTGGGTCCCCACGAGATTTGAAAATCAAAGTATAACAGAAACTGGCTTCCTACCACCACCCCCAGCTTCACGTTGTTCAAGAAGACGTAAAGTCACTCTTCAAAAAAGAAAGGAGAGGAAGAGAGAGGAGGGGAGGGCAGGGAAGGGAAGGGAAGGGAGAAAAAAAAAACTCACCACGAAATCTAAATTCTAAAACCTAGAAAGCAGTCTTCGTCCTGGAACAAAACTAACAAGTGGGGTTCACAGCCGCACAGTGCTCCTGCAGACCCGGGATCGGTAAATATTCGGTCATTTTTATAACTGTGCTGCTGTGTTCTCAGTGGGGCCCTTTTATGTTTCCCAAACAAAATTCTACGTGGAAGGCCAACGTGCAGGAGAGAGAAAATTTTAGGCGTTCCTCTGATCGGAAGGCAGCCCCTCTCCAGCAGTCCTGGCACGTCTCGGGGGCGCAGTCTGACAACCTAGGCAACAGACTGCGATTCACAGATGGCAAGAAGCCAGCCGGCCTGGAGGAGGCCGGCCGGTGAGCAGTGAAGCCCAAGCAGCCCCGAAGTCACAGGCGGCGGAGGGGACACCGCGCAACGTTCCTGGAATGGAACCTCGCAAGGCCCTCCCCGGGAGGGAGAAGCGATCTGCTCCTGCTCCTGCTCCAGCTCACTCTCCGCTCCTCTCGCTCGACCCGCCTTCCCCGCCGCCCAGCGCACGCACACGGCACACGCACACACACCTGACACAGAGTCACGCGCATCTAGCTAGCAGCCGTGCACACTCACTGACCAGGGCTGGTAACTCCTCAATATTTGGCAGTGCTATTTCATAGTGGTCTGGAAATATAACAAGCTTGGCTTCATCTTCATATTCATAATCGTCGCTATTTAAATCATCATCAGTATCTAGATCTGAGGAGAAAACAAAAACAGAGAACAAGAAAGTATGAGAGCACATTCTACACCAAGGCAGCACTCACTAGGAAAGCCAGAAATCCATGGGGACGACAAACCACGGGCCGACGTTCACAATTCCCGCCTCTGACGTTGCCACCCATCAGCCTCAAACCAGGAATAAGAGGCTTTTTCCACGTTGCCGAAGTTCTACATCCGTATCTACTCGGCACAGATGTACAAAGAGGACTGAGCCACATCACACAGCTTTACCACTGAAATAGACATCCGTGCTAGATACTCAATTCTTAAAGATGTTTAGAGGAATAGGCTGGTCCTTATTATCTGTTGGGTACCTGGCTCCTGATTTCCCAAGAATGGGCTGGAATGTTTTTCACAGCACAGTGGAAGACAGCACATAGGTTTGAGAGCAGATAAACCTAGGCTCAACTCTGGCCCCCAAAATTTAATGTTTCTTTAAGCAAGTCACAAACTCTGTAAGCCTTAGTTTCCTCATTTGGAGAATGGAGACAACACTTATCTCACACAGTTTATACGGGGAATAAATAATAAATTATAAACAAGAGACCTGGCACATAAAAGGCTCTCAGTAAATGGTAACAATTATTTTAAAATAAAATCTCGATTTCCCTCCCTCTCTCTCCCCCTCCCTCTCCCTCCCCACTAAGAGTAGTTGATATACTGCACAGTAAATCAGAGGGGGAAACCCCATGATATAAGTAGTCCTGTTGTGCTTGGGCTGTGGAGAATTCTCAGTAAGAAATCTAGCCTGTTGTCTATCAAGTCATCGCCTCTTTGCTTGGCTAATCTCTGGGAAGGTTAGGCAAAGACTCAAGGAAATGTCTTGTCACAATATTTACATGGACATTTCAGCCTTGTGCCCACATGGGTGCCAGCATCCCAGATCATGTTTGTATATTTAGATGTTTGGAACTATGGTGACAAAGAGCCATTGAGCCATGTTCCACTCACACACACACAAACCCACATACAAACATGAGCTCTGTAAACAGGAGAAAGCTATTTTACTAGACCAAGCAGTCGCCTGGGAAACAAAGTATCTAGATTCTGTTATGACCATGTTGTATGCCTCCAGCCAAAAACCTGGTATCTTTTTATGTACAGCTCTGCTCTTAAATTCTCAATGGGAGAGCAGTTTTAGTGGAAAATGAGATACAGCTAAAATGCAGTCTACACATTTTAATAAAAGATTCTAAATAATAAGAATCAGATATGCCAAAATAAACAAACTACATTGTTAGAAAGTTATAAGAGGTTATTTTTGACAAAAAGCAATGTTTAAAAAAGAACCTAAGAGTTTAAGAACTAACTAATGGCATTTACTTAAAGAAAATGATTCAAATAAAGGCAGACATTATATGTGCGATAAAAATCTGAATGCCCCAATATCTACAATGTTTAAAAATTAGAACCTCAATATTCAGTGAGAATGGTGTTCAATCCAATAGAATATTATTTAAATGATATTTAGTTAGACTACATAGAAATACGGAAATGTTTATACCACGTTAATGTTAAAAATGCAAAATTCATCTTCCCTGAAAAGACAACTTTGTAGCAGTTAAAATCATAGACAAAAATTAGAAGGAAATCTGGACAAATGAAAATCGTGAGTGGGGAAGCTTTATTCTTAAATTTTTCTTTATTATTATGTATAATAAATTTAAGTAACCAAAGCACAAATCTTTCATTTTTGTGTACAGATTCAACTCATGTAACACATTATCTATGTGTCTCTTTTTCACAGAAAATATACTTAATGCTAATTCAGATCTTACCTGGCCAAAAACAGTGATAAACTAAGCCCCCCAAAACTCCGCCAAAAAAAAAAAAAACTGCTCTGATATTGACTAGGTACTAAGCCTGGGCAAGTTCTTTCCAAGTTCATTTTCCTTATGAGTAAGCTATGAGTAATAATTACCTACCCAAGACTGTTGAGAGGATGAAATAAAGTAAGTTTTTAAGGCATCTAGTACAGGATCTGGTAGGTATTAGGGGCTCCACAGACAGTAGCTGCCACCCCCCTTACCACCACATCATCTCTTCCCTACTCTCCTCACAACTAACATGATTGGCAGCTCCAAAGCAATCCTGAAATAAGTTTCAGGAGGACCAGGATATCATGGGGGATCTTCTGTGTGATCTGAGTATAGAGAAGATGCAAACTTCAAATGCTTCCAGGCTGTAGCTTTAAGAGCAGGAAATGAGTCTAATTCACCTTCCATAACCTTAGCCCCAGCCCAGCGCCCAGCACACACCACACATTCAGTACATGCCTGTGAAAGGAGACTTTAGGAAGTTCACAACACCAGCATGCCAAGGACAAGAGCAAGGCCAGAGCATCCAAAGTGTTGTTAGAATTTTTTTTTAATTGGTAACTGACGCATTGTTTAAACAAGAAGGACTGCCGTCATGCAAAACGCAGAGCTTTGATGAGCTCCCTTACACTTAGTTTATAGTATACTTTTATTTTTAAGTCAATGGGATCCAAGGGCACCACGATCTTTCCCAGACATCTTAATCCAATGCAGGGGAAAGTCACCAGAGGTAACCTACACTCTGATTCTACGGGACAAATCTAAGGTTTCTCCTCAATACATGTGACCCCCCCCCCAATCCTAGGTATAAGTCCACCTTTCTGTATTTGTCTAACTGGAGTCTCACCACCACAAAAATATCTAGTTGAGGAACCTACAGAGTAACCACAGCCTAAGAACCAGCAAAACAAAGACTCCCAACCTCTCCAGCAGCTAAATTCCACTGAGAATATTAACTGGCAATCCTGGGCTCTTTTTCTAAGTCAAAAAAATTTTTTTCTAATACCTCTTCCTCAACTCTACTTCAATGATCCTCTCAGATTCCTAGGAGAAGTGGCTGGGACCACAGCCATTTCTAAGAAGTCACTACAAAGCAGCACAGTCGAGGAAAGAATCCCTAAATCAAACGAGAGCTCTGAAGCCTGGCTCAGAGTTCTCTCGGCCTGACCACGTGGACTTTAACTTATGAGCTGGAGATGAGCAGGCTGCTGCTCCGGGGCTGTGAAATCTCACCAACTGCTCAAGAAGGCACAGGGGGATGGTCCTTGTGCACAGACCCGGCCCTAGGACCTACTTCAGAAGGAAATGGCAAAATGGGGTTTACGTCAACCTTCTGGTCATTACAGGCGCAGATGAGTTTTCTGAACAGGCCCATTCCTGGAACTTTCCACAAATGTTGTTTTCAACCTGTCCCTGGTGAAGCACACATGCCAGGGCTACAGCCAAAACAGTGGAACGGAAGCTTTCTGGGGTTTAGCGGTCACTCTTTGATCTCCCAGTCTACAGACACAGAAGAACATTTACTCTTATCTGTGAAAGTGGGGAGGTGTCAATAAAAATGTGAATATTTAACACTATTTTCATGACATAACAAAGACATGGTATTTTTTTAATTCACTGCATTAGCAGTTATTTACACATCTATACACATTTGTAGTTTTATTATAAAAAAAAATACATATGAGATTAGGCCAGAATCACATCACGAGTCCTGGGGTATTTCTTTGAAGACCCCAGACTCCCTTACATCCCACTACTCTCCTTCTATCTCATTAAAAAGTAACTTTTATACCTGCCTATTCCCCAAAGTCACAATCTTTCATACAGCTGTAAGTTATCTTTGTAAAAGACAGCCTAATAGTGTCCCTTTCCAGCTTAAAAAAACATTATTGCAGAGCTACACACACTTTCTTGGTTCACAGCACCGTTAAGCACCCTAGCAATTTTTGCACAGCAGCCCTAAGCCAAAAGAAATGCCTAGTAGTTCTGTTTATTTAGTAGTTAGGTCCAGATAACTTAATAAGCATTTACATTCTAACAAGTTAGTAACCATTTGAAAAAAATAATACACATATATTCCAAGAAAAATGTTTTATTTTGCTCTTATATAGTCATAATTCCTTACTAATGGGCTGTGTGTGCCTGCTGGGCACTGCTCAACTTTTCTCTTTGAATGAGACTGGACACTGTCTCCCATATTCCCATTCCACATTATTTTCCTGTGGTACTTGCCTTTACCATAGAAAACACCAAAAAAGCAGCTTCAGAAAGAGATGAAATTAATGAAACTACAACAAGCTAATCATTCGTGCAATGTTCAAGCATCACTATGTTTCCTTGAAGAGTTAAAACATCCCATGATGGACCTGTGAGTTCGCTGCAACACCCTAATGTGCCTCAGAACACAGTTTGGGAACCAAAATGTTAATTCTCCCTCCTGCCTATAGGAAAAAAGCCTGTAAGTATGGTATATGTCTAGACTATTGCTGGAAGAATACACAAGACATATAAGGATGCACAAACAGAAAATACTGTTTGTCTCTGGGCAGGGTAACCAAGTGGCAAGGAGATAGGGAAGGGAGAGAGAAACTTACTTTTCATTATGGAGGCTCCAATAAAGTTTCAATTTTAAGCTATGTCCATGCGTTATGTATTCAAAGAATATTTTTTAAATCCTAACTACTAAAAAAGAAGTATAAAATTTAAGTGATTCAAAAATTAGCAATAACTGTCATTGTTGATCTAAAAAAAAATTACCAGCAAAAGCTAGAGCTGAGGGAAGGATTCTTAACTGGGGTGTGACTTAAATGACTGTCCAGGTATTCAGAAGAAAGAGTGACTTGAATGTCGAGGGACAGAATGGGGCTCAGGAGACTCGGGTAAGCCATTCAGACTCAGTTTCCCTTGTAAAATCAATACTGAAGGTCCTAACTGAATGATTCAACAGTTTCAACGTAACTGTTGAGCCAATGGAAAAGGATTAGTCACAAAGTCATTAAGTGAACAGGGGGGAACCCTCTACCCAGGAGAAAGCATTAGTCATCTGCCTGTGTTCTGTGAAGGGGAAGAAGGGTCATCATAACCACGCTTCAGTAGCAATGAAAAAGTACTTTCTAGTTGAAGAAACAAAGAGACTGCAAGAGAGTTCCGAGTTCTCTTCCTCTTCATGAAGAGACAGCCCAATGTCCCTTTTAGGAAGGACTCATGCTGAGGCTACTAGCTGCCTCCCAGCATTCATTCTCCCTTTCTTCCTCAGTAACAGACTTTATTCAGTGAGGCACACGGTATAGGCATGTGACCAAGTTCTGACCAGAGAGGTGTAAACTAAAGCTCTGCATGGGGATTTGTGAGAAGGCTGACAAAAGGAAGCTGAATCCACTGGGAGATAAGGTTTTTCTTTTCTGTCCTTCCCTCTTTGTCTTCCCTACTTTCCAGAAGGGGGACGTGATGGCTAGACTTCCAGCAGCCATTTTAGGCCACGAAGTGACCATGAAGGTTGGAAATCACAGGGCAAGATGGAGGGTGAAACAGAAATATGGGAAGAACCTAGATCATGATCAACATGAGGCCACCACGTCAGCCTGCACTTGCCGCTTCCTAACATCTGCGTGAAATGAGAAAAACAGTTACCTTATTTAAATTCACCAGTTTTGGGGGGTTTAGGGGGGGGTCATCTTTTTTTGTTTTTGTTTTTTGGGTTTTATTCTTTAAAATCACCAGTATTTTAAGTTTCCTGTTACATAATCAGAGGCATGCCTAATACAGTCCTTCACTGAAATTAATTTACAGGCCACACCAACCTGAAAACAGAGCTGTGATCAGTGTGGCAAGAGAAAAGGGCCTGCTGTTGGGAGATAAGACGCACCAGCTGAGGAGCTGTAAGTCACGACTCACAAAACCAAATTCTTACTGACATAAAATTAGCGAAGCATCTCAGTATAAAACAACAGAGAGAAATGGGGCCTAGGACAAACCCCAGAGCGCCTACAGCATTCAAATTTACATTTTTTAAAAACTGGTACAGTCCAAATGGAACATTTTTACTGGGCTGTGAGTTTCAGGCACACCCTGTGGCTTTCTAAGACGTGGAATGTTGAGAAAACACAGAGAACAGCCTGTAGAAGTCCCACTGAAATGAAAGGGAGGGCTGGTGCTCCCAGGAGGGGGCCACACTGAAGCCCAAAACTTCAGTGCTTACCTTTGGATTAACTTTTAAAGCAATTACTTGACAATATCTTCTACCACCAAAATGACCACTAGAAAAATCAAACTGCAAGGTCTTTTGAGTAAAAGACATAAAGGTTAAAGGACAAGAGGTCAACTAACTTCTTTATTCAACCAAAGAAAATAATGAAAAAATAACAACAGCAAGTCAAAATGTTTAATTATTTCCACCTTCAAGAATGCCGTGCTGGGGGCAAAGGGTGTAGCTCAGTGGTAGAGTGCGTGCATAGCACAGAGATCCTGGGTTCAATTCCTAGTACCTCCATTTTAAAAACATTGTTTTTAATAAATAAATAAACCTAATTATCTACCCTCTACCCACTCCACACACCCCCAAAAAAAGAAAAAAAAGTGTTTTTTAAAAAAAGAATGTCATGCTGATGTCACTGAATTCAGAAGAAGTCAATTATCTCTATTATTGGAAGGGAGCCAAAGGCTTATAACCAAAACATCAGAATGCAGTCACTTTAGCTTTCAGGCCCATTCTAAGCTGCTCTGAGTTTAATTGGTTGACTGGGGTTGTGGTCCAAACACATGCCAAGCAGTGCGAAAGATTGGCCAGGGTGGAAAAACCCACTGCAGATAAGCCTCATCAAGAAAACCATGACTTGAAAATCGAGAGAGAAAGTTAGCAAGTGGGCCCAGCACAGAGCAACAGAGAATCAAAGCAGGAAGGAAACTCAGCCCCATGACTGTTTCCAATGGCTGTACTTTTCAAATAATTAATGTCTTTTTATTACAGTTTGTTACAGAAAAAAATCAAATACAGATAAGCAAAAAGAAGAAAATAAAAATTACCTCAATCCCACCACCAGGAAAGAGCTACTATTAACAATTTGGAGTATATTTTGCCAGACTCTACCAGATTTTCAGTAATCTATGTACATGTGTATATGTGACACACACACACACACACACACACATATACACACATGCACATACATATATGCACACACATACACACATATGTGAGTATATATGTATAGATGAAATCACAATATGCAAACAATTTTGGAATTCCTCTCAAACAATAATCCCAGCAATTTAGGGGTATAAACCTGCTTGTTCAAAAATTAATAAACCACTTCTTCTCTCAGGAAAACCGTATCAGAAGCTTAATATGAAATATGATCATGATTACATGATACAGAAACCACTACGAATTTGCATGAGCAAAAAACCTTTTCTTCTGAATGAGGCAGACAGAAAATCACCGTCAGGCAAACACCACAGTAATCACTGTCGCAGGCAAGACCCACTGATGGACAATTAAATTAGCCAGCAAACTTTGAGGAGAAACAAGTATTAGCGTAATCTCAAAGTACCACTCCTGAGATTCTGATTAATTACACTTTAACTTTGCAGTGGAGAAACCCAACAGACACCACCTTCACAAGGGATCAAGGTTAACCTCACCAGTGTGAAGACATCCCAGCTTCATGTGCGCCCTGATACCAGGCACCGTGGAGGGCCCATCACCCCTACAGTATTCTTGCCAAAAATGCATGACCTCAGACTTACCATGAGGAAACACGAGAAACCCAAACTGAGGTACATTCTACAAAATAACTGGCAAGTAGTCTTCAAAAGTGTTATAAAAGTGCCACAATTATTAAAGACAAAAAAAGACTGAGGAACTATCATAGATTAGGATTAAGGAAACATGACAACCAAATGCAACATAGGATCCTGGAACAAAAATAGGACATTAGTGGAGAACATGGTAAAATCCGAATAATCTGTCGTTCTGCTAATATTAAAAAAAGAAAAAAAGAAAACCTGCCTCTTCATTAAAGGCAGTGGAAAAAAAGAGACCAGAAGCAGAATCACAATTACTCTCCACTCACTATAAAAACAATTGTTTCAAAACACTAACTCAACAAGAGTGCTGAGAGCATCCTTCACCACTGGGTAAACACGAAGTAGAGGAAGATCATCAGGAATTAAATTGGCTCCTCTCATCCTTAAACTGTAGAGCAATAAACAACCTATTATTTAAACCGAACATGCACATACACACACATACACAGAGAAAATCTGGGCACATTATTGATAACTATTTACATTACCTAAAAAAATCTTGGAATTCCTCCTTTTGGGTAAAGCTCCACCAGATGCCCCTCTTACCTTCTGAAAAGAAAACAAGAGATTGTTAAAAATGCAGCCTATGCAACAGACAATGGAGGGATGGGACAGGGGGCACATCTCAGAGTTCCCGGTTTTTATAAGAGGCCAAAAGGAAATATTCAACCTGAACTAGAGATCCCAGGATAAACAGGAACTTGACCCAAGTCCATGAAGGTAGGTAAAGGGCAATGCTACTGTTCTACCGGATTATGTTTTCACCAAATTATCAAGTAAGCACTTCTGGAAGGGGAAGTGAAACCAGGAATCAAGGTGAAGTAGGCACTTCAACTGTAAATCGGCACGTGCTCCCAAGAGGCTAGGGTCCATGCCTGAGATGGGAACTACTCCGGAGTGATGGTGATGGCCCCAGGAGGGAGACTCTTGTTCCCCTGCTACCCACCCACCAGACCTCTGTGCTTGGTCCTGGGTGTGCACAACAATTACTGTTGAAAGAGTTCATAATTATTAATAAAGAGTCACTGATGGTCTGATCATATTAAACCTCAATCTAACCTCCCTAGACATTTCTGGAGCTCCACCGGTCAGCCATGTTTGCCATCCTAAGCTTCATGTATCTTCCATCCCTGGCCCCAGAGCAAGGACATAAATAGCCATCAAGTGGCTATGCAAAAGAGGTCATTCATTCATTCATTCCCCTTCTGATTCACACTAAGAATTTTACTCTCAAATAGCATAATTAAAACGTTTGTCTCAAAAGGGCAAAACCATATTTCCACACTGCATGTGCCTCCCGTTATTAGAAAAGAGCATGTTTCCAACACGCTACAGCGTTGGGGTCGAAGCCCAGCCTCTTTTCAAGCAGCCACACCTTATGGCAGCATCGAGGCCTTGCTGCTTCTTTAGTCTCTACTCCCGTCAATCTTAAGTCTCCTTTCCCACATTTTATCATTTGGCAATAAAGGCGGAGACTCATCTTTGCAATTCTCACAATAAGTTTTTACAGCTTCTAGTATAAGTTTATAGTTCACATCTTAGGAATGTGAAAATTATTGAACACTGTAGCTCAAAAGCCTATCTCTCCAAACACTAATGCCACGTTCACGTCACCTTTCTTTGAATCCGCCTCCTCCAACATCTCAGAGCCTCTGTTCCTCTCCCTCCACTTAACTGCCTCAAAAAATGCTGAAATAAAACCTGCACCAATAGCGTATTTAGCAAGCCACATTTACCAATCCTGGAGGTCACCTGAAATCTCTCTACAGAAGTTTACGGCATCCTTTTAATTGTTCCAGCCTCACTGTCCCCTCCGGCCCTGCATGACAGTGGAGGGAGAAGAGAAGAAAGGAACTGCTGGAACACGCGGCTCTCCTTGACTGTGAGAGTCACATCTGAGACTTGGATTAGATCCACTTCCTTTCAGAAAAGAAAAAAAAAAACTACTAGGTCTTCCTTCTGAAGACCATCACCTCTGTGCGTGCAACAGTCAGCACTAGAAATCAACAGGGTTTGAGAAACTGGAACTCCTCAGTCAGCAGACGTGCCCGTCAGACTCTGTGCGGGAGTTCAGGCTGCAGAGTGAATGAAGACACGCTCCACCCACTGAGGAGCTCGCCAGCCTAGCAGGGGAACATGCACACAAACAAAGAGCAGGACAGACTCCGGTGAGTGTTACGTGAGGTGAGGATCACATCATAAGAAAGAAATGATAGTTCTTCTGGGGATGGAGGTTCGGGCAGGGCTAGTGAGGGAGGAAGAGCAGCAGGCCTGGCATACAGCAGCTGCTCAGACAGTATGTGTTGGTTGGTTGGATGGATGGATGATGACAGATGGACAGGTGGATGGATGGATGGATGGACAGATGGATATCCTAACCTCAGGGAGTACAACAGATAAAAGGAGTGGATGGGAATAGAAGTAGGGTACCCACCCCCAGAAAAAACAGCATGTACAAGGGCCTGACATCACAGTGTGTCCAGAAAGGAGAAGTGGTCTGCTGTGTCTGGAGCCCAGAGCTGATGGAGTACGAGGGAGGGATAGGAAGGTTACAGGGGTTAGATCATGGAGAGCCTTGTAATCACACGCAGAAGAGTCTGGAGTTCATCCTGCAAAAAAGAGAAAGACATCTGGGATTTAAGCTCCAGTGTGCCACCAATGCACAGATGGAAGCATCTGTGAAAAGATCGCTCGGGGTGCAGTGGGCAGACTGGGTGGGATTAAAGGCGGCAAGTCTGAAGGAAGATTAGTCGGGAAGGTACAGCGCTAGCCCTTTTAAGGGATGAGCACTCAGACAACAGTGAGGATGAAGAGGACAAGATGGACATCTGAGCCATTTGGGAGGCCCAGATAACTAGACTTGGTCACCAACCTGCCACGGAATGAAAGCAGATTTCAAAGGATGTCTCAGCCTTGAGAAATCAAGATGAAGAACAACTCGGAGAAAGAGGATAATTCATTCAGTATGGGCACAATGAGCCTGAAGTACCTATGAGGTGTTTGAGTAGAAGAAGCCAGGCCCAAGTCAGATGGTCAGGTCTCCAGCTCGGGAGAGATACTGATTTGCAAGTCGCCAGCTCAGAAACAGCCGCTAAACAAAGGTATGAGTGACATGGATGAGGAAGAGCAGCTTTCAGAGAAAGAAGACAGGATGGTCAAATGGCATCCTAGGAAATGCCAGTATTTAAAGGATAAAGGAATGAAACGATGCCAGTGAAAGGAAGAGAGAAAGGGCAGTCTGCGAGGGGGAAAAGCCAGCAAAGAGCGGTGCTAATGAAAGCAGGGGTGGAGCAGTTCCAAAAGGAAAATAAGTTCAAAGACTCAAAAACTCGTGAAATCAGAGCTAAAGCATATCCACCAAGTGTGGCAACTAAGAAGTCACTGACAACCTCAGCAGTTTTAGCAGATTCACAGGAAGATGGATCAGACGGCAGTGGTGAACTTAAAGGGAGGTGGAGTGAAGATGATGAGAACAGAAAAGTTTTAGAGAAGCTTTAATTGATGGATGGGATGACTGAAGGAGGACTCAAGTCAGAGGGACAGTTCTGAGGTGTGCTCTTTCCTAGCGTGGGAGAAAAAAGCCAGAAGAGGGAGGTGTTGGAGATATGGAAGGAAGTGGAGTTAATGAGGCAGGAGAACAGAGAGAACACAGCTTTCTGCAGAGATGGGAGGAAACCAAAGTGGAGCCACTGCACATGAGTTCCCAGGAGGGGAGGAAGGAGCTCAGGGAGTTCCTGTCCAGCGGTCCCTGTTTTCTCTGGGAAGTACAAGTCCAGTTGTTTTCTGAGAATGATGAGGGAGGTGCAGGTAGGGGCTTGTGGAAAGCACCCAAAGTTTGGAGTGGGAGAGGAAGTAGACCAGATTTGCAGGGCAGTGACAGGGCCCAGCAGAAAAGGGAAGGCCAGGAATTTGACACGGTCCCAAACCCCATGGCAATGCGGGATTCCGAGCCGTGCGTGCGTGGAAGCAGAGGATGATACTGATGCATGCACGGGCTGGGGTTCTGGAGGACAGCCAGGGAGGCAAGACAAGGAGATGAGGGTCAGTTGAGGGTATCAATAAAAAGAGAATGTTTAAAGTCATGGATCCTGAGAATCAGGCTAAACAGATCAAAATAGGAACAAATGGGTGAAAGAGCTAAAATGAGAGAGGGTTGTGGTTGGAAAGTGAAATACTTAATTTAAAATGTCAGAGGCAGAGCTAACTGCATTCTCTAATTCTGCCACTAGCTTTGTGACCCTGAGCAAGTTATTTCAAGCCTCTGGGCCTCAGTTTCATTTTTCCCTCCCAGTTTCCTAAAACGTCATCACTTTCCACTAAGACAGATGATACAAAACGAACTTCATCAGAATTGCTATGTCCCACCTAACAGGAGTGGTGAATGTAAATCACGTAGCATCAGTCCAACGTTAGATTATTTTCAAGCTAATCATTCAGTTTATGACCTATCTGACCTCCTGGCCTTTCTTCCTCCTATTCTCCCCACTGTCCAATTAGGGGATCTCTCCTTTGTCCAGAACTTAAACAGAGAACATATTAGCTAGGCTAGGGTGAGAGAAAGATGAACTTTAAGTCAGCATGGACTATTTAGAAGATCTAAGACAGTCTACAAACTATTAGGACTAATGCAAAAGTTGAACAGTATTGCTAAACATAAAATCAATATTTGAAAATTAATAACATCCCCAAACACCATCAATAACCAATTAAAACACCTTAGAGGATAAAAGACAGCAGTAACAATAGTTCTAAAAATTATAGGGTACCCTTAGAAATCTAACAAAATAAAAGCTCCATTATTAAAAATTGCAAGATATTACTGAAGGGCATAAAAGAGACCTGAATCAATAGAGGAGTATGCCATGTTGAACAGTCATTCAGTCAATGTTTATGAAGCACCTACTATGTGCTGGGCACTGTTAAGTGCTGAGGACACAGAGGTGAACAAAGCAGACAAGAGTACCTGTCCTCATGGAGCTTACACGGTGCTGTGGATTATAGATCACCCTACAAATTCAGTGTTATCATGATCAAAATCTCAACAGGATTTTTTTAACTAGATGAACTGATTCCAAAATCTATATAGAAAAATCAACATCTAAACCCATTAAATTTCTAGGAAAAAATGAACATGGAAGAAGTGCTTCTACTGCTAGATGTCAAGACCTTTGGGAACAGTACAGAGTTATTTGTCTAAATAAGAGCAACAGAACAGAACTGAGAGCCCCCAAGCAGACCCAAGTGTGACTGGCAACTTAAAATATTTTTTTTAACGGCACTATAAACCACTGAGAAAGGACTGCACTAGTCTAGTAATACCGAGACGATTAGTTATTAAAAAGGGGGAGGGGGAGGAGCAAAATCCCACATTTGACACAAGTATAAAAGTAGGTTATAGATGAATTAGACCTAAAAGGGGCCAGGTCAAGATAGCAGAACAGAAGGACGTGGAGCTCACCTCCTCCAACAAATAAATCAAAAATACATCCATATGCGGAAAAATTCTCACAGAATACCTGCTGAACGCTGGCAGAAGATCTCATAAAACC